TAAATATATAAAAATTAGATGAAAATAAAAACACAAGAAAAGAAAACAATTTTCTACGATCACAACTCGTGCATTTTTACTTATGCATAGCTGCCTTGAATCAGCTGTACTCGCTCAACTTATAGCCATTGCAATTAAAGAATGAAGCTCAAAATGTTTATTGGAGTTCTCCTCCGAGTAAGTTTGTTTCATCATGGAAACTTAAGACTTTGACTGATTTCCATTCAATTTTCTTTTCACTTAGTCTCACTATTTGTTTGTTTTAGGTGTTTGCCTATATGCGACAGCCACACCCTTGGATGCTACAGTTTCTAACAAGAGAGTGAGTTAACTTATGATGTGAAGAAAATCAGGGATTAATTTTATTTTTGGATGTTACACTTTACTTTTATTTATTTTCTTTTGTTGAAAACTTTAAGTGTTATTTCGTTTTTTTTTGTTACCTCTGAGAATAATTTGATTGACTAATTTGATTGCCTGAACGCGGTCAAGAGGATTAGGATCAGTGCTGTGTTTATGTTTTGCTACAATTTTGTGTGTGTTTTAATGGGAAAATGATAGCATGGTGATTTTTTCACAAAAGCGATAATTTGTTTTTTTTGTTGGTTACACACTTTAAAGTTCCAACAAATCCATTGGAGACCCCAAAAACAATAACAATTATTCAGAAGGTAAAATATATTCAATGCAATATGTGTATATACATATATATCTCGGATACTTCTGTCACTATTACACTGACAACCTTTACCGTGTGTCTTGAATTGGTGACATTAAGGTCTAAATGGTAGTTAATTTTTAGAATACTCGGAATAAAATAAATTAAAAAAATAGAATAGAGTTGAATTGAATAATGGCAGTTACATGAATATAATGAAAAATCACAAGCAAATATTTATATAAGATGAATGGTGGGTTTTTAAAAGAATAAAATGGAATTCAAAAATAAATAGTATAATTAAAACTAAATAATATTATATAAAAACCTAAAATGTGTATAACACTAACTTATATGTTAAAAGAAGAAAGAAAATGTCATTCTTTAAAAAAAATATTAGGAAAAAATCTAAACAAAAACTTTAGATTTTAAAGCATAACAAAATATTTGTAGAAAATATGAAAGTTAATTTGACCACTTCCGATCATTTGGGTAATTAGATGCTAAACTAGTAACAAAATTTTAAATTTAATATTTTTTTCATTATATATAATATTTTTTTCATTAAACTAGTAAACGCAGTTTCTTAAACAGATGCTTAGGAATGTTTTTCATTTAATTAAATAAACAGTTTGGTGAAGACAGAAGCAGCGACGCTTAATTAAGCTGTTTAAGCTTCGCTTCTTAAGTGCCACGTGGCGTGCTGCGATTGGAGAGAGTTAAAAAAAAATTCTGCGCAAGATGGCGATTTTGTCGAAGACT